TTTCTTTGTGAAACATACAAGACAAAGAAACACTCTTTAATACAATTAAGTCTCTTGATCAATAAAATGTCAACCAAAAAAACCCCAAAACACCCCTCTCTCCCAGTCCACACTGCGTCAGCTGCACAGGAAAGACAATCTCTGCACCAGAAAACTACATCATTATAATCGCATTGAGGAGCCATTCATCCATTTAGACTGAAATCTCATGCCACTATCTAATCAGAGACCGCTGCTGGACCGTCGCAGTCAATACAGCAGAGACAAGACACTGGTCCATCAACCAAAAAAAACCCAAAACACCCCTCTCTCCCAGTCCACACTGCGTCAGCTGCACAGGAAAGACAATCTCTGCACCAGAAAACTACATCATTATAATCGCATTATAGCCATTCATCCATTTAGACTGAAATCTCATGCCACTATCTAATCAGAGACCGCTGCTGGACCGTCGCAGTCAATACAGCAGAGACAAGACACTGGTCCTGTACTCACTGATGCCGTGTGTGTGTCAGTCAACATCACTGTAGATTACTAGATGCTAATGGTTCGATTACACTGACCATAATAACATAATCCAGACCCACAGTAATGAGCTGAGTCTGAGACGAAACCAGATTTAAGAAAGCAAACATTATAAAACTATATTTGAATGCATCCTGTACTGTACTATTCCAGTAGGCTACTAACAGCCCTGCAACACGGTGAAAAATATAATGTCCATGAATTAAAGAAATTGTAGATCACTTTTTATTAAATCGTACCTTCATATTAGTTCAAACTTCAGAACATACAATGTGCCTGGCTCTTAAGTTAAGTTGTGTATTTTTTCTTGCAATTCTGAGAAAAAAGTCTGATTTATGAGATATAAATGCAGAATTGTGATATATAAACTGGCAGTTGTGAAAAAAGGTGAAAATTGTGAGATAAAAAAATGGCAGAAACAAAAGCAGAGTTGCGAGATGCAAACTCAGAATTCAGAGAAAAAAATCAGAATTGCGAGATAAAAAGTCTCAGTTACCTTTTATTATTTTTTTACTCCATGTTGGAAACAGGCTTCCATAGTTACTTGCCATTTCTTTTATTTATTTGTGAAATTTACTATCAATTTCTGAGTAAACATTGTTTTTTTTGTGATTAAGATTAGATGAAGATGCTCTGACTGAACTTTTGCTGAATGCCATTACAATCGTAACAATTATTTGATTGGTTCAGACTCGTAAGCAATATGATCAGCTGAGTGTTGTTTTTAGTTTTTTTGCACAACACTCGTCACACCCGTCCAGAGAGTATTATTCCAGACAAACACTGGAGCTCATCTATTATACAGGTCAAGATGGCTGTTGTGCTTTGACTGTTTATGTAAATATATGCATCTGTGGTCAGACGCTGAGATTTAGCACAGCGGCTGCACTGCGGACACAACCCTCTCTCCGAATAGGAGAGGAAAACAGTAAGCAAAGCACAGAAAAGGGGAAAGAGAAAAGGGGTAAAAGTTGGAGATCAGTCCTCGGTGCGTCCCATAGGGCAAAGGCAATTTTCAGCTCTACTGAACCAATTCCACAATGACTAAAGTCCGAAAGGCTGACAAAACTTATTCATAACGCCAAACTCCACCATTCTGTCATTCAACATAAGGCTCCGGCCGGCTCAAATTTGGACCAGAGATCAGAGAACTCCATTAGTAAGCAGCGGTGGGATATGAATGCAGTATCGGGCGGAATAATTCTGACTGGAAATGAGGGCAGTTTGTCATTATAAAAGAAACAGCCGGCCTCAGAAGAACTGAATATAGGGACACTTAATGACTCGAATGCATTCCATTACACCTGATTAGTGAAGCAGGTCCGAGCTATTATGACTCCAAAAGCAGAATATCACACATATGCTGAACAAAATGAGCCCTGAAACACAGCCTGAAGAGGGGAGAGCTCAAAAGTAGATAAAAACCAGAAGAAAGGATGCTTACTAAAACACATGAGATCCCTTCCAAAACATGCTGGTTTCTACACTGAAAAAATGTATTATTTATTTGTTTTTTTATTTATAATTTTACGCTATATGGGCATCAAAGGCTATATATAATAAAAATATTTAAATAACAAAGCTTCAATGTATTGTATACAATAATTTAGGGCTGTCATGATTATTCGATTAAATTCGAGTACTTGATTATTAAAAAATCCTCGATTGCATTTTGCCCATGTCGATGGCGCATTCCAAGCATTATTAGACCGTCTTCTGCACAAAATATTAAAATCAGTGCTATTGTGAATTCCCATGGCTGCAATTCAAATAAATAAATATATGCACTGCGGGTTTAAAACGCGCTTTATTTATAGGTGTAGGTTACGTGCATCTCAGAGCGGCTCCGTTCACAGTAAACGCTGCTCCACACAAACAGTTATCATTTCATATCAGAAATTTGCTAGTCATTTTCACAAATAATTGTGAATGGTAAGTAACACATTGAATGAAACATGACATTTTGAAGTAGATAGACTGAAATAATATTTTCTTGTAAGACCTACTCTAATAATGTTTTATTTGCAACTATAAAAAAAATAATAATAATTTTTTACAGTGTAGATGCAAAAGATACCTGATATGAATCGTGTTTTGGACTAATTGGAATCAGCATCGTAAGTGTCCTTACGTGTCCAATAAGATGATCCTAGAATGCACTGCAACAAGCTCTATAAAATATGGAGGACAAAGTAAGAGAAATGTCAATTAAAATATATGTCATTCAATACTAATTAAAAAAATTATAAATGCATTTGTGTGTGCTGTGTATTTTTATAAGTATTAATTTAATTAGAATAGATAAACAGATAACCACTTTACAGCAGCACATAATATAAGTATATAAAATACATATATATACATTTAAATGTAATATATATATATTTTTTTTTTATTAATATATTTTAATGACATAATTTGCACCAAGCACAGCATCTTTTTTGTGCTCAATAAGCTAACAAAGGACTCTACTGGAGTTGATTGAGAGTCAATTGGCTTGTGGGAAGTCGTGGCTTAATGGTTAGAGAGTCGGACTCATAACCCAAAGGTTGTGGGTTCGAGTCTCGTACCGGCAGGGATTGTAGGTGGGGGGAGTGAATGTACAGCACTCTCTCCCACCTTCAATACCACGACTGAGGTGCCCTTGAGCAAGGCACCGAACACCCAACTGCTCCCCGGGCGCCGCAGCATAAATGGCTGCCCACTGCTCCGGGTGTGTGTTCACTGCTGTGTGTGTGCACTTTGGATGGGTTAAATGCAGAGCACTAATTCCAAGTATGGGTCACCATACTTGGCCACATGTCACGTCACTCACTCACTTGTGTGCGTCAAGAGAGGAGTTATTTATATGATGCACACAGTTGCTTCCTACAGTATGCACAGCATCCCTAATCTGCTGTTTTAATTAGGATGCACTAGAAGTAGGGGTGTGCGATTTCACGATTTTTGATCATGGACTATTAAAATGTCTCCACGATCTGCTTTTGAAGAAATATCGTAGTATCGTGCTACAGCGCACATTCTATCAGTTGCAGTTCTGGTGCCTCCGTCTCAATATACTGTACAACGCGACATACATTCGCATCAAATGTTAACTCAGCAGTAGAGTTATTTTTTGCTCTAATATTGTCAAAAACACACAAGGTTTACATATAAACGCAGTTGGTTATGTCTAAAGTGAAAGTAAACACTTGAGAGAAAAACGGATGCGTGCCTGTATATTACATGCATGTAGGTCTTAAAGCGACAGTACTAAACATGATGCTGCTTGTCATTAAAGGTATAGTTCACCCCAAAATTCTGTCATTATTTACTCACTCACATGTTGTACCAAACCTGTATTAATTTATTCCTTGTGCTGAACACAAAAGAAGATATTTTGAAGAATGTGGGTAACCAAACAGTTGCTGGTCCCCATTGCCTTTGATAGGAAAAAATAAATACTATGGAAGTCACTGGGGACCAACAACTGTTTGGTTACCCACATTCTTCAAAATATCTTCTTTTGTGTTCAACAGAAGAAAGAAACTCATTCAGGTTTAAAACAACTTGAGAGTGAGTAAATGATAACAGAATTTTCATTTTTGGGTGAACTATCCCTTTAATGTCAATAAAACGACAAAACACAGAGAAAAATCACTCACTGCTCTTGACTGATAAACTTTAATACAGCTGCTTTGATAAGAATCAGTGTAGGATCATTTATACAGTGAAGTCTACATAGTGTTTTATTTTTATATTTCTTCATTCAATTTCTTAAATGCTACTGCTAAATACACCTACCGTACCTGAAAAATAAAGCACTGTTTTATTTTCCTGAAAAAAAACATGATATATTTTTGCCATATGACCCACCCCTAACTATATAGGCAGCTAGGCTTTGGAACTGAGCCACTGTGTACACATAACTGTGCTTGTCTGAATGCACTGGAGTGCAGATCGCCTGTAGCGGCCAGAGATGTGTCGTGTTGCGGTTATTGACTCCTCCCCGCAGACACAGCGGGCTCCGTCTGCTTTGTTGCCATTTGCCTCTTCTAAAAACACAGATTGCTGGACATGAGCGTTTTTAAAAAAAATTATTTTGCACTTAACATTAAAATCAAAAACTGAAATAGTACTCTTCTGACAGTAGCAAATTAAAATATTAGCAAATTATTGATTATTAACAATTTACAGGCTACTTGTTTATTGTATTTCAAAACTTTAAAAAGGTACTATGATGGTTTTATTGATATGTGGTAATCTTATGGACTCATGCAAACTTTCAGAACCACATAAATATCAAAATACTATGTTTATGTTTTTTTTTTACCATGGTACTGCCAATTCTTTTTTTTCTTTTTTGTTAGATAAATTCATGTAAATTACAAAGTTGTATTGTTTGTCTTTTTTGGTTTGGAGTATCTTCTCATGTGAACGTTTCAAGAATCATTCATAACTCGCAACATACTAAATCTCATCTCTCTCCTCTGTAGGTGTCAGAAGTCATACATCCTGCCCATAGTGAACTGACCAGCTGTATCTGAGTGTGGACGCCATGGATACAATAAACTTCACCTTCTGGAACGCCTCTGAGGGCAACGAGACCCTGGAGACGGTGGACGAGAGCCCGTATAAGACAGTGGAGGTGGTGTTCATTGTACTGGTGGCCGGCTCACTAAGTCTGGTGACTGTTATCGGGAACATCTTGGTCATGCTCTCCATCAAGGTAAACAGGAACCTGCAGACTGTCAACAACTACTTCCTATTTAGTCTGGCCTGTGCTGACCTCATCATTGGCCTTTGCTCTATGAATTTGTACACAGTCTACATTGTGATTGGATACTGGCCGCTAGGCCCGGTTGTGTGCGACTTGTGGTTGGCGCTGGACTACGTGGTCAGCAACGCCTCCGTCATGAACCTGCTGATCATTAGCTTCGATCGATACTTTTGCGTCACCAAGCCGCTCAGCTACCCAGTGAAGAGGACCACCAAAATGGCAGGCATGATGATTGCGGCGGCATGGGTTTTATCCTTCATCCTCTGGGCTCCGGCCATCCTGTTCTGGCAGTTTATCGTTGGCGGGCGCACGGTGCCAGAAAAGGAGTGCTACATTCAGTTCTTCTCCAACGCCGCAGTCACTTTCGGCACAGCCATAGCTGCTTTCTACCTGCCCGTCATCATCATGATGGTGCTGTACTGGCAGATATCCCGCGCCAGCAAGAGCCGCGTCAAGAAGGACAACCGCAAGCCGTCGGGCGGCAACCTCGATGTAGCCTCGTCCAATCAGATCCACGAAAACACGGCCAACAAACCCACCAACAACAACCTAACAGCTGAAGAAACAGATCAAGGACAGACCCTACTAACAGATGACGCCGCCAACCAACACGATGCCAAACTCCAGAACGGCAAAGCGCCATCCACGGCGAGCGGAGAAGCGGAGGCGGAGGAGGGAGGACAAGTAAACTGCCTTCCTGCGGAGGAGAAAGAAACCTCCAATGACTCCACCTCTGGCAGCGGTGCAGTAACCAATCAAAAGGATGAAGCAGCGCCATCCAAAGCCAATGACAACCAGGCTCCCGCACGACACCGCGCCAAAGCTGGAGGCTCCAAACTGACGTGCATCAAGATCATCACCAAATCGCCAAAGGGTGACTGTTACGCACCTTCAAATGCGACGGTGGAGATCGTCCCAGCAACTGAGAGGCAGAACCACGTGGCGAGGAAGATCGTGAAAATGACCAAGCAGCCACCCAAGAAGAAAAAAGCACCGCCCTCTCGGGAAAAGAAGGTGACGCGCACCATCATGGCCATCCTGGTGGCATTCGTGGCTACTTGGACGCCCTACAACGTGATGGTCCTCATCAACACCTTCTGCTCCAGCTGCATTCCCAACACCGTGTGGACCATCGGATACTGGCTCTGCTACATCAACAGCACGATCAACCCCGCTTGCTATGCCCTCTGCAACATCACCTTCAAAAAGACCTTCAAACACCTGCTGCTCTGCCAGTACAAGAACATACGCTCGGCCCGATGAGCAGCAACAAAAAGTGTGTGCATGCGTTATATTTTACATTTGTGTTCTGGTGACAAAGGTATATGTGTGGATGTGTTTGTATGTGTGGAAAGATGCAGTAAAACAGCAATTATAAAATGAAGATTGACCCATCAACACCCATCATATACAAAGCTTTAAGAATCCTCCATCCTTGTAGTTTGGTGAATTTGACACTGTCAGCTACAAGTACTTTATTTTAACATTTCACCATGTTTAAAGTCACAGATTTCCCCTGAAAATTTGCAGATGTGTGCACCTGGGCAGATGTGTGATTGCATTTGTTGTTTTTTATATATATAGATAATCTGTTGTAGATAATCTTTACATACGCATAGAGGTGATGCATGTCACAACAGAAGTGCTTAAATATTTGATTTACAAACAAAAAAGTAAAAAAACAAACAATACGAGCAAATAGCTGGTGAGATTGGAGTCTGTACTATTCAATAATACCCAAATAAGGGGACAACAGGGCTGACTGAAGATCCAAACCAAACGTGTTTGAGCTTCAGTATAAAATCACACCTGTATATTCATGTATATAATCATGTACTGTATCCGTGTCGTGTGAGTGGTTGCATGCTGGATGACGGTGTGTATGGAAGTTTGTAGCTAAAGTCAACATGAAACCTGTTTACTTCTGTAACCAGAGTGAAATTCATATCTTGATTTTATTTAGATTGCAAAGACAGTTTTAATAATGTGCACCAATGAATCGTGCCAAATAAGACCAGTAACATGCATTAAGGAAGTAAAGAGGCTCATGTTGACTTTAAAGCTTCAATAAATGCAAGCATCTACAATGACAGTATGACAGGTTGCAGGTTGCAGGGTTTGTGTGTATTTGTCGTGTGTGTGTGTGCTCTCCGAGAGCAATAAGAGGGTTGAAGAGGCCCTCCGATGTGCCCGTATGTTAAAGTGGATGGGTTTTGAGTGCTCGGGGTCTCCAGGGATGCAAATCTAAACCTTTTAAAGTGAACAGACGCGCAGGATGAAGAGGCTCTCACAGGCACGCAGCCATTAGCATCCACCTCACCTCTGCTTTGCATTTACACAAAACAGTTCACTCACGCTCGGGCGAAAAAAGGAAAACACCAGCTACTTTGAGCACTAATTCAGCAGATACTCCAAAACCGGCTTGTGAATCTGAAAAAAACCCAGAAAAAGATTAAAAGGCCAAAACGCTTGCTTTCCGCCTCATTGTAAATGACATGCCTGACACATGCACGTTCATGCAGAAGTGGCGCCTGCAGACATGCAGCGTCCAGATGACCTGATCTACCCTCTAGGCTCATGATCCGCCTGCAGGCAACGTGTTTGAAAGCGCGCGTGTGTGTGTGTGTGTGTGTGTGATCACCTCATCAGGAGGATTAATATAACTCACAGGTTCTTGCCTTGTGAATTTAAAAGGGCTAAAGTACATAAACTTCCTCAAGTCGCCATTAGTTTTTTGGTTCATTAAAACAGATTAACAGAATCCCCGCTCAGAGCAGAGGATCATGGGAAATGTCAGTCAATAGATGACAGAGCAGCAGCTCATAACTTTGACAGTGATGCATGCTGGGGGAATAGAGCTCGTGTGCGATAGATGAGCTCGATCGCAGTGCTTCTGCATCAGAAACCGCAGCGGCAATGTTAATACATGTACCGCGGTACTGAAGTTTGATTAAAAATACCACAGTTACTGTTGTAAAATCATAGTAAAGTAGCATGAATCTCAGTCAAACTGCTCTAGAAGATCTCATTTGGCATTTTTCATTTGGGAATCATGATTGTATCTATGGGATATTAGAAAACTCTGGTTACCATGGTACATTTTTGCAGGAGGTTGCAGAGATTTACACTGCAATGACCATTAATCATCTGATTCACACATTCATTCTCATCCCATCTATTATATCCATATCTCATAACATATTTAGAGTACGACAATAATAATCCGTTTCCAAATAATGCACACGTTTACTTTTAGCACAATCTCTCCTTCTTGACATTACTTTCATATATACAGATTTATCCATGCATACACATGACAGAATCATGCATAATGATGTTAAGTTGTTCTTCTGCAGATTATAATATCAGTGATTATTGTAGGATGACATACATCGTCTGATTTTGTGTCTTGGCGCTGACAAGATTGTAAAATACAGAGAAATTATACTTCAAGTATACAGTTTATTCAACTTAAACTATTCAGCCTAAAAAAAAAAGCATCCGCATTTGATAATTTTATAGTTGTTTGACACTTGAATGCAGTCATTTACAGACTGTTTGTCAGACACGTTCACACTTAGTAAACATTTTGTTTGAGAAGATTTGCTTGCTGACTGATGAGAGGATTTTAAATGGTTTTAAAGTCACCATGAAATCAAAACTGACACTATGGAATATTGACATAATTGAAATTATGGAATATTGCAGCAGGGTTATTATCATGAACTAAAACCATTAAAAATGCTTATTTTATTTCAGCTAGTTGCCTTAACAGAATTTCTCATTTCCAGTTAGTTTAACTTGGTGTACTACAATGACTAAAACTAAACAAACTAATAAATAAAAATGAATACAAACTATAGACATTTAAAATAAAAAGTAATAAAAATTACAAAAACACAACAAAATTACAAAAAGTTAAAAAATCTGATTCAAATATTAACAAAAACTATAATAGTCAATGATCAATGATACTAAAAGTTTATTAGAAATTATTTCTAATTATTTTTTGATTCATGTGCCTATGTAATCTTTCATTAAAAAATATAAGTCCCGCTCTACAATTTTTCTTAATCAAAAATCCATTTGACGTTGGATATATGCCAAAGACAGTTGTAACGTGCATTTTGTGCTGACTTTAACAAAAATTAAGTAAAATTCACAGGATAGCAATCTGGATGGCTTGTTAGCACAGTAAGATGGACAAAAATATGTAATGCATATATGTTCATAAGTACATATTTCACAGGTCATCATGATAATCAGAATATATCTAGGGAAACTTTTAAGTCGTGATGACCTGTAAAATATGGACTTTGTATTTTGAAAGTCTAAACAAAATGGTAAAAAAAAGTATGATTTTGCTTTGAAAATGTAACTGACTTCAGTACAAATTCCCAAAATAATACAGTATGCACTAAGTATATTGAAGTACACTGTAAAAAAAAAAAAAAAAACTGTGACAAACACTAAACCCTGTCACGGTGACACACTTGATACTGAAATAATGCAGTAAACATTGATTTAACAACATTAGATGTAAGATTAAACGCTAATGTACACAACTGATAAGAAAAAACATGTTATTTCAACAACAAAAAAACATCAAATATGAAGTGTCATGCAGGGAATTCTGGGAGTGTCAATTTACAGTTTGTCACTGTAAATTATACAATGACTTTCTTTCACTTCCCAAAACCGTATTTTTAACAGTGTCTTACTGTAAAATGACATTAAATGTAATTACATTTATTTACCAAATATAGTATGGAAACTTACTGTTAACAGGTTTTTACTGTAACACTTTTATAGTCTTTTACTGTTAAAATCACAATCATTTTTTACAGTGTACAGTTATTCTAATGCTTTACCCACCGACGAGTAGTGTGTGTATGCTGGAGGTCAGAGGTCGTGAGGGATGCGCGGCGGAGCCGTGCGTTATTAGTTGCGAGCAGGACAGATAGCGCAGGTGTTGGTGAGTGTTCAGAGCGTCCCGTCCTGCAACCCCAGCCTTAAATGGGGCGGCGCTGGTGTGACACACTCAGTCGTCCTCCAGCGAGGGATAAGCACTGAGAGTGTGTGACGCCAGATAAGATGATCTTTACAGAAGAACAGCCAGTCACAACCTGTAAAAAGACACCGCCATCCCAGGGGTCAGTGATGCCACTGGTGCCCTGCTGGGATTAGTTTAGCACACACACACACACACACACTCACCCTCTCTCACACACACACACAAACACACAAACACACAAACACACAAACACACAAACACACTCACCCTCTCACACACACACACATCCAGATTGCTATCCTTTTACTTGATTTTTGTTTAAAGTCAACAAGAAACAGAAATTGTGATAATCTTGTCTTCACTATTGTGACACATATCAAATAGCTTCTTGAATGAGAACATTTTTAGATTTAATTATATTTCATTAGTTATTTAAGGAGATGAACAAGTTCATGCATTCTGGAGTAAAAAAACAAAAAATCTTTCATACATTTTTTTTAATGAAAGTTAATCATAGTGATTACAGACTAATTCAAACCTAAACCACACCAATCAATTGCCTTTTTAAAATAATAAGAGAAATATTTGTCAGATTATGGTGATGCATTGGCACACAGAGTCCACTAAACACACACATATTAACACGTGATTGTCATGAAAACCTGGTCGCATTTGCCATCTATAATCTGACTGTATATTAGAGCTGTAAAATTAATCTCATCTATGTTTAAGAGTCTAATAAAAGCATCATTCAGAAAGGAGTCAGGTGTCTACAAACATTTGGCCATGTAGGCCGTGTAAGTGCACTAGCAAGAAAGCTAGACAGCAAGACAGGGTGCTAAACCTTCACCAATACAGAGAAAACAGCTATTTGTAGGTTATATAAAAAAATATATACTTACATTGGTAACTTTGGATGGCTAAAATCCCTTTAATCCACTTAACTGACTAATTTCAGGACTCTTCCTGCCAAGCAAGGAAGTTCTACCTGGTTTACTAAAGATCCGTCCTCTAATTGTGGAGAGAGCCAATCACGGTTTAGAGTTTTGGAGTGACATCTGGAGTGGCCAATCAAATGGTCAGGCCAGCTACAGCCATCTGAACAAACACATTTTTCAATCATATTTGTGACCCTGCAGCACAAAAGCAGTGTTAAGTCGCTGGGGGATATTTGTAGCAATAGCCAACAATACATTGTATGGGTCACAATTATACATTTCTCTTTTATGCCAAAAATCATTAGGATATTAAGTAAAGATCATGTTCCATGAAGATATTTTGTAAATTTCCTACCGTAAATATATCAAAACTAAATTTTTGATTAGTAATATGCATTGCTAAGAATTTAATTTGAACAACTTTAAAGATGATTTTCTCAATATTTAGATTTTTTTGCACCCTCAGATTCCAGATTTTCAAATAGTTGTATCTCAGCCAAATATTGTCCGATCCTAACAAATCATACATCAATGGAAAGATTATTTATTCAGCTTTCAGATGATGTATAAATCTCAATTTCGAAAAATTGACCCTTA